GAGAGAGAGAGAGTAAAAGAGAGAGAGAGTTCATGGGATGGATCAATTCATTGAACTGTCCTCCCCCTCTGTGTCAGTGTCTGTGTCAGAGCAGGCGGTGTCCATGGCGATGTGGGCAGGGCTTACAATGACAGCTCTTCTCTGCTCCTCCTCAGCGCTGGCTCTCCTCTCCTGAGTGCGTTCGATATGCTGGATGGCCTGGGAAGGTAAGAAAGTATACTTTAAATATGAGGCAATAAACAGACTAACAAGCAAAAGCAGCTTTCCATACAAAGTACTCTCCATTGCAGTAAAGACCCATGAAGATCAGGCTAGTTAGTCTGCTTGAACCTTTTGTTTTAACATGCAGAAAAGCATACAGACCTGGGTCGTGCACTATGAATCAAGCTCAACAAACCCAGGCTCTCTTTCTATTATCTGGCTTCACTTAACCCAACACTGGCAATCAGGCTAATGCTTGTTTTATGGTAATACGTGTGTTTATTTTTTGTAGGTTTTTGACTTTGCAGAGGGGTATGCAACCAGCACAAATGTGGTTGCATGCAGTCCTCCAATGACGCAACAGCATGTAGCTCGACAAGCATGACAGTATGTGTATGCTGACTGGTTGAGAAGTGGGCTGGAACAAGGAATGGAGCGATGGCCAAGTTCCTTCCAAACAGGATGTCAGAAGATGATAAAATGGAGCATGAGAAGCACAGATGGTGACCGCAGCGGACACTTTTCATTGTTTTCAAACAGTCGGTTTCACTTCAGCTCTTTGTATGTTCTCTGCTGCAGCTGGCAAGGACCAAGAACAAGCAAAAGCAGCCCACAGACTAAGGACTGACACCACTGTAACAGCATTACTACTCTTAGTGGTAATGCTATTGAACCGGTACTTTAACATAACTCCTATCAGATCATATATGATTTTGTCATTTATCATCTGTCTAGAACCCTCAAAATATAAACATAAAATATAATGAATTTATAATAATTAAACATGAGAAGGGAGCCAGAGATCAACAGACGGATTGGTGTACCGGTCCGTTGTGGTGAAGAGAGAGCTCAGAGTAAAAGCGAAGCTCTCAATTTACCGGTCGATCTACGTCCCTACCCTCACCTATGGCCACGAGCTGTGGGTAGTGACCGAAAGAACGAGATCGCGGATACAAGTGGCAGGAAATGAGCTTCCTCCAAGGGTGGCTGGCCTCTCCCTTAGAGATAGGGTGAGAAGTTCGGCCATCGGGAGGGGCTCGGAGAGGCGCGCTCACATCGAAAGGAGCCAGCTGAGGTGGTTCGGGCATCTGACAAGGACCTGGGCCTCCTGGGTGAGGTGTTCCAGGGCATGTCCCACCGGGAGGAGGCCCCGGGGCAGACCCAGGACACGCTGGAGAGATTATATCTCTCGGCTGGCCTGGGAACACCTTGTGTTCCCCCGGAAAGCTGGAGGAGGTGGCTGGGGAGAGGGAGGTCTGGGCTTCTCTGCTTAGGCTGCTGCCCCCGCGAGCGGCCCCGGATAAAGCGGATAAAGATGGATGGATGGATTAAAAATACACTGTAAATCAACATGTACATTTCCAATATTTTAAAAATTTCAAACCTCTGCACTGAACAGATGTTGCGGGCTTTTTAAGACAAGTTATTGTGCAGTGACATTAGTTTGAGTGCAGCCTCCAAATCACTGAGTGATCTGAAACTGAATTTGAGGATTTGGGATTAGGAATTGAAAGTAATGGCTCAGAGGATGTTTTGACGACCTTGGACTGAATGCATAACAATCAGCTTGTTAGTAATTACTTTGATCATTTAATCATTAAACCACTTTCATGTTTTAGATAAGATAAGTCTTACATAACTTGACAGCGGCAGATGAACTATGAGCTAAAAAGGAGAAAACTTTGCTTTTCTTTGTCTGAATGTGACACAAATTAGTTTAGTGTTTTCATGTTTTTTCCTTTCCAGGGCAACAATCGCTGTCAGCATGGACTCTAGTGAAGTGAGTTCTGCCTCACACATGCACACGCATGTGTGACGCAGAGCTACACCACCCTTCACATCTAAGCTCAGAGGCAGAGAATTCTCTTCTGGACAGGAAATAGCCAAAATGCATGTCAGATTAATGTCTCAATTAGTAATGATGGTGGTCAGATAAAATGTAAAATAACAATAACGTCAGATTTTACTGACACACCGGTCTTTAATAGTTTGCCTCAGGGTCAGTAATACTTGGTGTTTTGGCACCCATCCCTACCGCAGACCAGTTGTTTGTAACACTGCCCCCTGGTGACAGTAAACTATAATATGTAGACACAGGTCTTCAAACCTGTCTGTAGGACCACTGCAGAAACATTATTTGAGTCGAGGAAAATGCTTGTTTCGGTTGCCTTGGAGTCTACTCAAATAACATCGAGCACCACACAGACGTTTTTCAGGGCTGCTGAACACACACTGAACGTGTCAGACACCCAAAACCTGCCTAGTAAATACTGCAGTGTGAAAATGTAAAGTAATGCAATGTCAATGCCTAATCAGCAAAGATCCTCTAAAGTGAAAAAAGTTCAAACCTGCACAATGGTGTCCAGGTTCTGTCTAGAGGTGGACACCGTGCTGGTGTGGGCTGATGGGCTCATGGTGACCACTGTGACGTGATGGTGGGGGTGCTGGGTTAGTGTTGGAGCTGGGACTATCACCGTGGGGTGGTGGGTGGGGGCAGGGGGAGAAGCCAACACCTAGAGGAACACACAAAATATTTATAAAACAGACATCAAAGTGTGTTTTCCATTCCATAAATACATATGCCCACATCACAGCTGAGCTCCATACAATATTGGCCACTTCAGAGGCTGTTGGAGCAATCTGCCGCCTCTTCCAGTTCAGAAACAGTAGCACAGGTACACATTAGGTTTTGAGCATGTTTGTTCCTAACCTGTGGACTGTGTGTCTGTCTGTCCACAGCGTGGATCTGGTGTAGCCGTAGCAGGGTCTGGCTCTGGATGAGTGCATGCTCCTCTTCCACCTGCTGGGTGATCACCTTCAGACGCTCTGGGTGCAGCTGAGTGTCCAGAGAGCGCACCTACACAATGCACACAACTACATCAACCAAAGATAGACTGACAATTTTAAGGGCAACAGAAAATATATCCCAGCGTTCTTGTCAAATAAATACTCTAATGGGAAACTTCATCTTAACACTGTAATATCAACACAGTGTTTCCACTGGAAACATAATGACTGTCTGAAAAAGAAAAAAGTGTCCAAGACACATAACTGCCATGCATTCCTCTGATGTTTACCTTCCACTTAAACAACGTAATTAAAGTCTTGTTTGTCTTCTGCACCTGTCCCACCTCCTTTGTCTCAACCTGCTCTTCAGGTCGATCCAGGATGCGAGCTTATGAGGAACCGGCTCGAGTACCGGAAAATCTGTCAGCCCCACAAGCTGAAGATTTTATAATATGATATCACGACCAGTAGTTGAGACTATTTTGTAGCCTGAAGGTGTAAACGAACTTATTTGTATAACCTGGGTAAATTAACAGTCCTATTTTTGTACCTTTTCTTTCGAATCAAACGTTCTCCCTTATTTGTAATGACAGCAAGAAAGTGAAATGTGTTTTAAATACACATAATAACACGGAAGGAAAAGGATATTTCTTTTCCACCTTCACTTCCAACCCCCTGCTTTAACCTCACCTGATCCTCCAGCTGCATGCGAGCCGAGCGCTCCTTATCTAGTTGCTGCCGCAGCTCTAACATCTCCCTCCTCAGCTCTTCAACCTTCTCCTCCTCCAACATGTCTGGAGACCCAATCCCTTCATCCTTCTCCTCTGCTCGCCTCCTTTTAGGCGATGAGCCACTTAACTCCTGTAACGACAAGGAAACCACATTCGGTTAAATGTGAAACAACACGATTGGTGTAATTTTCTTCTCCATTTAAAACAACACATGGTGCCTATGCTGACCTGAACAAAGAGGCAGTGTGAACCAACGGGAAGGTAAAAAAATGACTTCAGTAAACATACATTTAAATGTGCAAAAAACTAATTCAAGCTAAGTTTGGCTACAACTGTAACTCCATGAAGCTAAACAGGAAGTTACAATTTGTCTGTAATGACAAACGTGTAAGATGAAAAACTTAACTGACTATAGGTAAGAATCACAGACCAACTCGGTATTGGTGTAATCTGCTGCTCACAAGAATTGAAGTGATTCTGCAACACTCAAAAAGCTGAATTTCTGTGTTGTCAGTGTGCATCTGTATTTATAAAATGAAATGTTTTGTTTTTATTTATTAGCTCTCAGGTTAGCTTCCTCTCACTGAGCGTTTTCAAGTAGGTTAACTTTTTCCACCCGCTTTATTTGCCAATCTTCACTTCAGGAGTCATCAAATAATGACTCGAGTAACTGAAATTGGTGGAGGGACTCAATTAAGACTGCCACCCATCTCTATTACTAACACTATATCTAATACACTGTCTGCTTACACTACTGTCTAATACCTTTGAAGAAAATGACCAGTCTGTGTTGTGCAATCAATGATGGTCAAAGTGATTGTCAATAGCTCTCCAGTCAAAGCAACATTTAGCTCATTTCCCCTTTCATGCATTAAATTAATATCTCTAATCAGAATCAAAATGACCCGATTCTGCCTCACTATAGTTTAATGTTGCATCTCTTCACGTTTGCAACCGACGCGACTGGATGTGCACGAGCAACTACAACCAACTGGTTGTGTGAGTCAAATCTACTGATCCATCAAACAAAGGGAGGAGATTTCCGACCACTGGGCTAATCTTTAAATTACAACATAATGTGACTGCACTTGCAGAGACACTCGTTTTCCCCTTAACTTAGCTGTTTCTGTTGGGTGAAAAATTTGACTGTGCGTGGAGGGTACAATAAAATATTGAACCATCAAATATTGAGATTTAACACAGCTGTCAGCCTACTTCCGTTAACAAGTTAACCCTTTAAGACCTACCATAGAACCAAGTCCGCCAGAGCTTATAGTATATTTTTACATGCTGTGGAGCCATTATTTGGAGCATTTCAAGTTGCTATACATCAATACAACCATTATAGCCCAAATTTTAATAATATGTATGCATTAAGTGCATAGTAATTACATAAATTGCAAAAAAGTGCAATAAACTACAAAAAAATTGAAAATCGTTTTTGTTTTTTTAACATATATTTCTAGTTAGAGAAATTTAAGAGGCTTATCCCTCAAAACTGTAAATACAAAAAAGTTGCACAAACTAGTTTCCCACCAAGGAAATTTATTTTGAGTGTCTTCATAGTTTTATTTTTGAGATACACCAATTTTCTATATACTGCAGGAAAAACGAAAATAAATATTATAGTGCAAATTTGCAAAAAACAGCATATGCATCAAAATAAATATTTCCAGCAGTGCAATATGAGTCCTCAGCATCCCAGAAACGACACAGAAAGTCATAAAGTCAAACATAACTTTTAAAAACACAAGTATAGGCTCATAAGGCCACGATGGTAAAAAACTACATTTCCGCAAAATGACGTCACTTCCGGTTTCGGGCAGGACATGGAGGACATGTGACAGTTCACGCTGATGGACGTAGGAAGTGTTACAAACAGCTGATCGGATCGGCAAAGCCTGTTTCTGGAATATTATGTTTTTGTTGCTGCAAGTGATTTTTATGCAGTTTTTGCAAAGCTATATGTGGAAGGAAACTGTGACTTAGGACAAGCTGATGGCATAAGATGTAAGTACAACTCCTCCGGTTTCATATGCAAAAAAAAAAGTATTGTGCTAGCTTACGTGGTTGCAGTGCTACCGGGATTTAAAAATAGTTACGCAAAATGGAGCGTGTCCGCTCCGACCGGCTTTAAAGGGTTAAAGCAAAGCTAGATCATTCATTTGCTGTATGTCAGTATTGTAAAGATTCCCAGTGTGTGTGTGTGTGTGTGTGTGTGTGTGTGTGTGTGTGTGTGTGTGTGTGTGTGAGCCCGCCAGTGCTACCCCTCAGCCTCGTAATAATTACACCTATAGTATCATTTTCAAAATTCTACATTTCCTTGTTCTCAAGTTATGGCATTCACCTCACCAGACTTATGTGTCCATGCTGCCCGGCAGGAGGACAATTCCCCATCAGCCTTTTACGTCTGAGGGGTAAAAACGGTATCTGCTCTCGTGAACACACAATTTTGCCATTGTTGAATAAACAACTATTATTTTTAATCAGGCCAATGGTCACACAGAGCTCACACACTATCAGAGCTCCTCCTTAACAGAAAAACAATGCATGTTTTTGACTGAAGGTCTACTGAAAAAAATATGTCTTATATATTCTCTAAATTCTGTTGTACATGTCAGTGATCTGGATCAATTCTACATTCAACAGCATACTACATTCAAGTCTCCTCCTGGGGAGGAACCTGAGCTGAAGACAAAACCATAAGGATTGTTTTGGCCCCAAAACACACCATTAGTACTCATGTAAGATAATATATATTCTGTATAACAGATCAGTATCTCATCTGTGTGACACTGACATGAATTCAACCCCATTTTATAATTAGGAACATTTTATGTAAAAAGAAAAAAAAAAAAAGAAAAAAGAAAAGAAAGACAGGGAGACATGCTGTTACCTGGATGAAGCGCTTGAGCTGATTGTTCTGTGCCAGAAGCTGCGTCTTTTCCTGCTCCAAGGTGAAGATATAGTCTGCTGTCTGCTGCAGGATGGCCGCCTGAAAGTGGGGAAAAAGAACAAAAGCTGAACTCTAGAGCAGATGTGACATTAGTGCAAAAACAGGCACAAATTAACTTTATTCCCTTCTTTGCGCATTTGTGCCGAGTCACTTTGTATTCTTGCTGTGCCAACATTTGGTTAATTGAACTGTGCACGCGCACGTGTGTGTGTGTGTCAATGTGTGCACGTTTGGAGCACCTTGCTGAGTTTCTCCCCGTCGGTGTGCGGCAGGAGTGTTTTCAGGGACTGGAATCCTGCGTTGATGCTCTGCATACGCCGGCGCTCGTTGCTATTAGCGATTTCCCTGCGAATTCGCCTCTCTTGGTCCTGAGCAGTCTCTGGACTGAGGGGGATGTTGGCCAGGCTGAAGGAGAGAGGTCAAATGAAGAAGATGATCATGACTGTGTCGTGAAGTCACCAAGAAAGCGTAAGTTCCCCTTTCAAACATAATTAAGGTTAGCATTAGATCTGAGCAAATCTGTATTCTGGGTTAAAATGACACACTGGGACAATAAAGTCTGTAACTAGCTGCAATCTGAAACCTTTTACCTGGAACTTTACAGGGCATTCATCTGAACTCGTTGCCCCTTAAAGCACTTGTAGAGCATGAGTATGAATATCATGGTAACAAAACCTTCTGACATATTTACTCAGAGGGGAAAAATAAGTGAACCATTCAAGTCAGACTTCCGCAGCAAACCTGAAGAACCAGATCTGTGATGTTTTACTAGGCCTAAAGGTCAGACCGAACACACGGCTCACATAGTTGTAAACATGTCTGTCCTACAAAAAAATGAAAGAGTAGGCAGGCATGTGCCAATCAAATTGTAAAGCTTGCAACTTAACAACATTTAGTGAACATTAACTGTGATATTAACATATAATCAGTAATCTTTCTCTGTTACTTAGATTTATACATATTTAAAATATTGTATTAGATCCTGAGGGTCTAGTTCTAGAGTGAAATATGCAAATTATGCATTATTTACTTTCACTTTTATAAATTTAGACACGAGGAAGACATCTTTGGTTAGGTAAATATCCTAAAACGTTAATTTTTAGATAAAAACTGTCTTTTTGCCTGCCATTTCTTTCCTTGGTGTTAGGAAAAACTATTCGCGGAAATTCTGTACCATATCTAGACCAATGTTTAAGCACACAAAGGCTTTTCTTTGGCTACAAAAAAAGTGAACGATTGACTAAAGAATAACAGATTAACAACCAAAACTGTGAATATCAAAGGCAAAAAAATAATTATCTAAACAAAAAGATCTGTTTCTACACATTAAGTTTCATATTAACGTTTGACACAAATTATAGGGGTGTTTACGTCGACTCGGGAAGAAACACCGCATTTCTCCCACAGACTTGAACGCGCCGGGGTTTGTAGCTCAGACATAAAACCAGCTGTTGTCTGCTGACGCTGCCGGGAGCTGCGGGCCTGCGGCACGGCCGCCGGGGGGCGCGTCTGCACGGTAGCAGCCCTGAAACGTGACTCCACTCCGCCACAAGCCGCAGGCCCCCCTGGCGTCATAGAGAACAATGCTTTCCGCATTTAGCATGAAGCTAGAACTTAAGTTATCGATCCAACATTAACCGATAAACACTCATAACTGTCGCACCACACAACAAACGACGTATTTTAGCTAAACGACTCGGGAAATACGAGTTATGAGACGCCTGTGTGTATTTCATACGGCTGGAAGATGTGCGCAGTAAGAGCTAACTAGTTAGCCACGCTAAGCTAATTTTAGCACAAGACGCAACGACGACTACGCCGCGGATCAGTATTTAAACACGCATTTTTTATCCCCGGACACGATTTTACACCACATACTTCATCATAGCTACACATAGATGACACACACGAGCGATTTAGTTAATATGGCCAGTTTTTTTGGGCAACGGTGACGTTACAAACGTGATTTGTTGTGTAGCAGCAAAGCGGCGGGTTAACTACCACGTGCTCTAGACGGCAATGTATCGATTTCACCTCACTGATTTACATATTCCTGAGCCAGGCGGTTACAAACATGCTTTATTATAAGTTATTACAAACAATTCAGCCAGCGTATTTAAAAGCAAGGGGGTGAAATGTTACATATATCCTCGTCTCTAACAACATCAACTGGCACAAGCACTGGCTGCTAATTTCCACAACCACGCTCCTGCTGCCAAGACATGGCAGCGAAGCTAACAGCATGCTACATGAAGGCTGACTGCAGCGCACACACATACACGCGCTACACGAAAGGTTATTTATTCACGCAGTTCGGTAACAACACCGATGTTAGCATTTTTGCGCACCTGCAGAGACCTCCAATAACATCCTTCTCCGATTTCTTGAACTGTTGTAAGGACTGTATCTTCTCTGTCGGCATCATGAAATATTCCATGCTTTCAAAGCCACCTTCAGTCCGTGTTTGCTGTTTTCTTCTCCCTCCCCTGCGCTCCTTGTTAAAATAAATAGATGCTCGGTTGGTTTTTGTTTCTCCCTCGCAGAACTCCCACTGTACTTGCCAATAGCTTACATCTAAAAAGCCGCTTTCAATTCGGTTTGACTGAAGAAAAGCGTTAGAAAAATAACAATTCAAGCTGTGTTGCTTTCCCCAGCTGATGGGGCTACCTCCAGTGTGTGTGTGTGGCTTCTTGCCTCCGCCTACTACGAGTGTGTGTGTGTGTGTGTGCAGCTGATCTATGTGAGGCGGGAAACAGCTGGTTGGAATCAGAGCTCGTTTTCCGGAAAGCAGAACAAACAGACCAGCAAGAATCTGACTGCAGTGCTGCAAATCTACGAGCAGTGAGCAAAATACCGACTATATAATTTGAACTACGCCAAACTACAACCTGGGAATCAGCAGGGTTAAAGGTAAATTTAAACTGCAGCGGTTTGCGTCTTGCTTTCCCAAGTGCAGCGACTGACTGTCCAGTGTTGGTACTGCCAATGTCACATAAAAATAAACTACTGACATCTTGATTGTGATAAAGGTTTAAGTAATATTGTAAATAAATGGCATTACCAAGCTTATGGACAAACCGTCCTACAGTTCATTTCATTTTTGTCATAGTTAACAAAGGACCAACACGAAAATGTGTTGGACAAAAAAAGTCAGTCATCATCGTAAAACTTAACAAAAGAAAAGAAAAGAAAAAAACCCCAAAGCAACACAAGTTAAAAAAAACAACAACTACTGGAGACAGAAATAAAACAAAAAAGTAATACAGAGATGAACAGGATTACAATTTAAATGACCATAATGACAAGACTAAATCCAGAGAAATGCTCACGTGTAGCTCAATTACAGACTTATTACACAAACAGAGGTGCCGCACAAGAGTTTAACATAATTTTGTGTTTCATGATCATTTCACAAAGTGGAAAACATATAATTAGATGTTTTTACTTAAGTAATAACATTTACTACTTAAGTAGCTTATTTGTGCAGTTGTATTGTGTAGTAATTGTGTAGTTTTTGTCTACAAGGGCATCCAAAAATCTGCCAAATAAAATATTCAGAATTACCTGCTGTAGAAACTGCTTATGAACAAGGGAACAGTTAGAAGTAGCTTTCAATGTAAAAATGTTCATTATGAAAAGTGTCCATCTAATCATATTATATTACATTCATTGCTGCTGTTCAGGATACTTATAACCTTTTCTTTCACCTGCACCCTTTAAGGATCACTTCAGAGGATAATCTGTCCCCATAATGCAATTTGTCTGTGAAATAATAAGTAACCAAAGTTTTAAAACCAATATTACTATTGGTAATATCTACTAAAAATGTTTGCAGCAGAGTAGGAAGCTTAGCAGCAGAAAAAACTAATTTCTTCAGTCCCATTGCCACAAGTGTATAAAATCAAGCACCTTTTATACAGTCTGCCTATACAAATATTTGTGAAACAATGGGTGGTTCTAGAGCACTCAGTGCATTCAGGTTTACTACAGTAACTGTTGTAACAAGCCAGTGTGTGACATTTCTTCCTTCCTAGATATTCCACAGTGAGCTGTATGTTTTATTAATGCAAAGTGGAAGCGTTGAGGAACCACAGCAACTCAGCCATGAAGTGGTAGACCACGTAACCTTAAAGAACAGAGTGACTGAATGTCGGGGTGCATAGTGCATTAAAATGACCAACACTCTGCTGACTTAATAATGTCAAACTGCCTCTGGCATTAACTTCAGCACAAAAACTGTATGCCAGGAGCTTCATGGCATGACTGAGCAGCTCGTATGTGCATATATATATATATATATATATATCCTTGTGCATTTGTTTTTAAAAAATTATTTTAAATGGCTCCCAAATAGGAAGTATTTTCACTTAACAGCTAAGAAATAAAATTTTCAATTTGTCACCTTGAATACAAAGGACACAAAGGGAAAAGTAAAAGGAAACATTACAGCTTAATAAAATCCTTATATGCAGACTGATAATAATTTATTATAAAAGGAAGCTCCGCAGCATAAAAAACTCCGGTTTAGGACAGCAGGTGGCAGTATTAAGCTGGAAAGTCACCCAACCAGAAAATCTGGTTCTTTGTTTTCTTTACATGAAAAGTGGAAAATAACCATTCATCCATTCTCTTCAGCTGGCGCCTATCACAGCTGTTATAGGGTAAGAGGCGGAGTGGACGGGCTGCCAGTCTATCGCAGGGCTAACACATAGAGAAAGACAACCATCCACACTCACACCTAAGGGAAATGTATTACCATCAATTAACCTAACGCCACTAATTATGTCTTTGGATTGTGGGAGGAAGCCAGAGGACTTGGAGAGAACCCACACAAAGATGGGGAGAACATGCAAACGCCACACAGAAAGGCACTGACCAGATGGTGGAGACTTCTTGCTGTGAGGTAACACTGCTAACCACCACAACATAGTCAACATAATAAATTCCTAATAGCTTCACTGCTGCTGTAATGAAACCATAGTATGTCATCTAGAACAGCACGATATCAGCAGGCCTTTTCACAAGCCTTGAAGCTTAACCAGTCACATGTGCCTCTGGACAGTTTTTTGTTTTTGTAAGTTATAGTATTTAAACCAACACACATGCTTTATTGTTCTCAGGTTTTTATTTTCCCCATGTAGCACATGTTAAAGAGATAGTAAAACGACATTATACACTGATGAAATATTTGGTCTTAAAAAAAACAAACAAAAAAAGTGATGAGCTCTCCTTATTACCACAAATCTTTAAGTAACTAATATACAGAGAAAGTGTTTCAAAAATGATCCAATTTACTATATTCACCTTTAAATAACATATTTATATTTATGTACACATTTTTTTTGAAATAATAAAAAAAATGATAGTATTCTTCATATAAGAAATGCACCATAGTCTATATTGAGATATATTAGTGTATCTAATGAGTCATCATTTGTAGGAAAATGTATTCACTAAGGCCACTTAGTACAATTCTTCAAAAATATCTAACGGTAAACTGTATTGGACACCACACAACAGAGCAAATGAAGGTGCACCTTTGTATGTCGGCACAGACGTTTTCTAAATTTGGAAATTAAGCGTGTTAAAGAAAAGAATGAACTTAAGCCATATGTTCACAACATCTTTAACCAGAAAGGAGCCGTTATACTTTTAAAGGCACTTACATTTAGGACCTTGCTAAAATAGGCCTTGTCTTTGGCAGATAGAAACTTTAAACGCTTGAAAATGGAAATCTGGATCAAGACTTAAATAGGGGTCTCCGGAGTAGACCTTTTAAAGCCTGAAAATATAAACCTAACTGTAGGGATGATTATCCTTTACTTGTAGCATGATTGGCAAATGCCCTCTGGAGAGAACAGAATAACAGAACATTTTATTTTGTAACTTTGACAAAGTGTAAGCATCACTGAGTTGACGGGATCCCTGCCATCTGTACTGATGGTCTGATCCTCTTGGCAGCATTTTCCTCCACGGAGAAAGTGTAGTTATACTGGGGAAAAAAATAATCAAAAAACAATGTGGCAATATTCTCAATTTATATACCCAATAAAAAGTATCAGATGAGAACTTACCTCATTTTCAATGTCTTGGAGAGATTTTATGGGAATATTCAAATCCGAGTTCTAAGACAAAAATAGTCAAAGAGAATTGGGATGACAAAGGAAAGTCAGCGGTATTTGGCATTGGAATCCATCCCTTGAATACTGAAAACTTGAAACATACCGTCTCATTTGCCTGGGTTTCAAATTTTGGGTGGAGGCTGAAAGGAACTCCATCTAGAGCTGCAGAGAATAAGAGTATGCCTAGGTGAGTGGGTCTCTGCGGTGAGAAGCGTAAATAAGAAGCCCTTTGTGTGACAAGAGACCCGTGGTACCTGTAATTCCATGGATGCTTCCATCAGCAGGTTTGTCTAACTCATCCTTTGTTTGAAGAGTGTGGCATCTGTGACTAAGTCTGCTGGGTGGCAATTCAGGAGGAGGAGGGTTGCTGCAGAAATAAATAAGATAAACAAATAAGATGTCGACCACAAGAGTAAAACGCCTCCAAGATAATACACTTTGCTGTAATAATGTCACATCGCTATAATTTTTAACTATATACACTTCTAATAAGAGACATATGTGACATTTTGATAATAAATAACATCTCCATTTTAAATATACATAGGCATTGTACCTAGGTCTGAGGGGTAGAGGAGGAGACTGCTGCTCTAAGGAAAGTTGGCGGATGTCCAGGCTGACACTGCGGGGCTTGGCTTGAGGCGTGGGTTTAGAAAAGTAACCTTTTCTGTACCACAGCACATAGCCGTGGATGTCTCTGAAGAAAAAGTGCATGTAATGACAAATTATATGCAACATAATATTCATAAAAGTTCATGAAAATGCTTCGATAAAACAGGCCCAAGACAAAAGTCCATGTATCTGAATGTACCCCACAAATGTGTAATGCTGCAACATCATTTTGCTTTTGGCTGTCAGCTTGATATCCAACACAGCTGTTTCCACACTGCCCACTGGGACGATGCGTACGCACACACGTTTTTTCTTGGAAACTGTGGCCTCTGGACAAACAATCACACGGTAGGTCAGAAGTGAATGAATATGATGCATTCTGCTAAATAAGTATGAATGTGTGTGTGTGCTCACTTGGCTCAAGATGTTCGGCTATAAAGCAGTAACCATGAGGAAGTGAGTCCTTATCAGAAATAATCCGGATGTCAGTCACTACCATACCACCTGCTGAGTCCTGCATTTATGGAAAATTTAGAAAAATAAATGATGTATTGTGGTAATATAAAGGTAATACATGTATAAGTTCGCATTTTTTGTTCACCTT